GATACAGAGCATGCATCAATGGATAAAACAGGACTGTCATATCCTGCCAAGACAGGGTAAGATAGTTTTGAAAAGTTGCTTGCCTTAGAAAATGGTATGTCAGTTATGTTAGGCCTTAGCCAAAGTTGGTTGCTTCAACGCTGCTAATGTGACTTTGGGTGATTGCCCAGGTAGCTAGTTGTCTCTGTGATTTGTTGCATGTTTTGGAAGTTGTTTTACTGAACTTCCTAATTACCCAGGTAACATTATTTCCCTTCTCAGATCTTCGATGGGGTTGAAGACTATATAAATGTAGTTACTTTCTCTCATGACTTGGCCAAGTTATTTATTATACAAGACCTAAGCTAGTTAGAATAGGATATTTGTACTTATTGTATATAATTTCATAGTAGGTTTAGAACTCTCTTATTTAAACAAAAGGGGGAGGTGTTGCGGGAGGTCCTCCCACTCCTCCAGCCTATCACCGCTGAGGTACCAGCCCACTGGGGCGTGGTTTCTCTCCCTTTAAAAAAGCGGCCACTTCCCTCTTCGCTCTCTCTTCACTTCCTGCTCCGCCTGCGACTAGACTCCTTTCCTGGTTGCGAAGAGGGCTGTTGCCTAGGACAGTGATCTGTAAGTTTTTTCCCCTTTAAATAAATACCACCCTAATAATCATAACCCCGAATTGGTGTGGCATTGTTTGTGACTTACGCCTTCAACTGGGCCTGGCTTGAGTATGTGAAACCTCAAAGCCCATCCCCAGTGACACATTTCCTTCAACAAGGTCACACCTACTCCAACAAAGTCATACTTCTTAATAGTCCCACTCCCTGTGAGTCTACAGGGGGGTCATTATCATTCAAACCCCCACAATAAGAAACTCAAGATTAGCTTCATTTACACAGTAAGTTCAGAGCCAGTCTGGGTTACACAAGACCACCAACCTGTCTCATGCACCACCAACCTGTAAGAAAAGAAGATTAGTTATGGATGGGATGTGGAGAGAGTTGAGGACCACTACTTACTGAGAGCACACAGGACAAAGACTCAAGGGGATTTGGTGCTTTTAAGAAGGGGTTTGGATGCTGGACAGATGGACACTGTAAACCCTTCATATATCTTCGGGGTGAAAGAAAAGAGACTTCATGGAAGCAGAGGTTTAGCTGTGGTTAATAAGAGCTGGGAACATTGGTAGCTGGAGTATTTTTTTTTTTTAAACTATGGGCCCACTTACTGAAATTTAAATTGAAACCTTGCCATTTTGGTCATTTTTTTTTGGGGGGGGGAGACATTCTCGCTGTGTAGCCCTGTCTGCCTTGATATCCACTATATAGCTCATCCTTGTCTCAAACTCCTGCCAATCCTCTTATCGTAGCCTCCCGGAATGCTGGGATTACAGGCCTGTGTCACAGTGCCCAGTTCTGGTCAGTCTTTAGAGACAGTTAATCCCTAAACTCTTTTGTCAGGGCACGATGCTTTAAAAGCAAAGGTTTTAGTGCCCAGGGGACACCTCACATCTCTGAGCCCTCAACTGTTGGCATTATATATCAAGGGAGCTAATGACACTACAGAGCCATCGTTGTTAACAGGAAACAGGCAAGGGAGGCATCAAAGAGCAGAAAGGAGCCTTGCCTGTGTTGTCTAACCTACTAGGTTCTCACGTAGGACTTGGTAGTAGCAGAAACAAAGATGACAAAGGACAATATTTTTCAGTTCTGAGAAGTGGGAGGATGAAACATAACAGAAGGATGGGTAGGACCAGGGCCTAGGTGTACCTAGCTGGAAAATTTGGCAAACGTTGTTTACATCTAAGGTTAGTGAGGATGGGAGCTTTCTTTGTATGAGAAATACTGTCAAGGAAATAACACTCAGATTCCTTCTAACACAACAGCACTTAGAACAGATACTTGTTCTTCTTGGGAATGCCACTTCCCCACAAAAAAACCATGCCCCAACCTTAACACCTCACAATCTGCTAATGTTCAGATTTCTGTGGCCTTGGAAACAGGCTCAGCTCACTGTCAAATCTGTGGTGCCAGAACCCCACCATTGTCTGGCATGCAGCCATTTCAGGGGGGTGAGCACAGATATGCACGGCCCGCATGTCTGGGTGTACTGGGTGTCTGCTTAAGAGAAAACCAAGGAAGAGAACGGAAGCAGAAGCACTGGGAAGCTGGAATCCCACATGCACACGGTGACCACACATTCTGATCACCCCGGGGCACTGAAGGCTTTCCTTGGTTTATACTTCCTCAAAAATACTAACATAGAGACGGTAAATGTCTGACTACTCTCATTCATTCTTATACTTTGATGACGCATTCAGGACTCTGGGCTAAGGCTGACATATAAGCAAAGACGTTGGCAGTCGGCATGGGTCCTAGACTCCTTAGGTCAGATGCCACAGAAGATAGTCATGCCCCTTTCTCCTTACTGTCCCTTCACAGTCATCCCAAGTTCTTTTCAATACCTTCCCGCTTTGGTTTATCTCATCAGACTCTACGACCCCTGACAGCGGTCGCAATCGCCTCCTGTCTAGATCTGCCTCTCCTCTTATTCCTTGAGGATTTTAGCTTCTGGCTCCCCTATTAGTCTCTTGACACCTCACCACACCGCAATGATCTCATCTAATCTCGTCTAATTAATGGCTTTAAATAGCATCTCAAGACCAGGGCTCTCTCAGAGCTAGCCGTGCGTACTTAGTGGCCCACCAGCATCTTTACTTGTGTTACCATCAGACACCTCACACTTAATCTGCTGGGAAGTAAGTGTTTGCGTCACAGCTCAAACCCCTCTGCTGGTATTTTCATCATTGTCCTCCTAATAAAAGAGACACTCTCTTTTGGTTAACCGGGTTGTGTGTGTGGGGGGGATCTCACATTCACCTTGAATCCTCTCCCCTTCACACCTGATATTTAGTGTTAGAAAACCTCTGATGCCTCTAGTTTTAACGCATTTGTGGACTCTGCATGCTCAGATTCCCACCACATATGCTGACAGCATGATGACTTACCCTCTCTGAAGGATCCTTACGGTATTCTCTTAGCTAGATTTTCTGTCTCTACTCTTTTTTCGCTACAGTCTATTCTCAAACCAGCAAACAGAGAGCTTATAGCTAAACATAGGTTAGATTGTGGTACTCTTCTGCTCAAAACTGCTATGAAGCTAAAACCAAACCCTTCATTATGATCTAAGAATTCTAGATGACTTGGCCCCATTTGCCATTCTGATCTCATCTTCTACCGGTCTCCCCCATCATTTGCTCTTGTCCAGTCTAGTTGGTTTTCATGTCAGGTCCATTCCTACCCCAGTGCTGTTGAACTTGCTGTTTCTGTGGCCTAGAATGTACTTCTCTTCAAGATCAGCTTAGCTTACCTCCCCATTTCCCTCATTAAGGTCAAATCCTTACACACAGATATAGGTGCATGCATGTGTGTTTTATTTACAAATATTTCCCCAGGTCCAGGAAATCTGATGTATAGTTAACATCAAGGAACTGGAGAGATGGACCAGCAGTTAAAAGCACTCGTTGTTCTTTCAGAGGCCCTGAGATTGGTTCCCAGCACCCATATGGTAGATCACAGCCATCTGTAACTCCAGTACCAGGAGATCTGGTGCCCTCTTCTGGTCTCTGAGGGCACCAGACTTGCACACAGTGCACATGCGTACATGCAGGCAGAACACTCATACACACAGGATCTATAAAAACATTAAATATGTTTGAAGAGATGAAAGCGTTAGCTACACACACCTTTGGTTTGCCATTCTTTCAACAAATTCTAAATGCCTTACATTGAAAGGAATAGCTATGAAGCCCCAACCTCTGTCACATAAAAACCCAAAACAAGAAAAACAAAAAAAAAAAACCTTTTTATATAACTTTGGTCCTTGAGGACCTCATCTTTGCCTATACTTATCTAGACAGGGGTCCTTCTGCCTCGCCAGCTAGCCATGTGGAAGAAACTCTATTAAGAGTGGAGCCTTTTATCGAACCCAGACCGTCTAAATGGTATTCCCTGCTTTTCTCTGTTGTCACCATGACCTCAGTCTAGCTTCTGGCACACACGGTCACTCATGATCCCTTTGTCCTTTGCTTCCCACAGGTTAAACCTCCCCACTGTATCAATTTCCTCCACGCTGTAGTTTGTTCTTTTCTCACCATTGTTGCTACCCTCCTCCAGACACAGTGCCCCACCTAAGGGAAGGCCTGCCAAAGTGGCAGTGGGGCTTGGATGCTCACAGCCTCTGTCACTAGCCTGGAGTTTGTGACCCACTGATATGTCACAAAGGCAGGGTTTGATGGGTGCCTCAGAGCTGGGCAGGTGGGGCTGGAGGAATCACAATAAACTCGCAGTCTGCAGGACTTGATGGGCACAGTGTAGAGAGACAGGACAAGCTGAGGGTCAGTGGCATTGATTAGGAATGTCACTGGGAACACTGGGAGGAAGGGCTCCCTCAGGGTAACCAGTCTTTGATCCAGGGCATGGCTGGACAAGTATGGATCTGAATCCATGGAAATTCTGCCTCATACTTGAGTGTCCTGAGAACCTTCCAAGATGCTCCAGGGAGGCATTTGGTCACATTTTCCAATGAGTTGGTCAATGGTATTGTTTTGATGTCAAATGCGATGTGGGAAGTCTGAGACTCGGCAGCAGAAGGCCTCAGAGGCAGTCCTAAGCCAGCCATCTCACTGCGCGTCAGTGCCTTCATCTGGAGAATAACACATGCCAGGCTCTTTGCTTGGCCGGAGAGTTAAATGAGGCAAAGCTGGGCACTGTGCTTCACACCTGTAGTCCTAGCACCTGGGAGTCTGAGGCAGGAGGATTGTGGGTTTGAGGCCAACTTGGCTAAGTTCCAGGCCAGCCTGTAAATACACAGTGAGACCTCTGGGGGGTGTGGTTATAAATATATTGTGTGTAAGTTAATGAGATGCAAAGGCAAAAGCTATTTCTAGGCTTTTACTCTGAAAAGGCCCCGAGTCCATCATCCATTCAACCCACGCAAGGGCCCTGGAGACTCACCTGAAAACGGGGATGACGTAGTCACTTGGAAAGATGCCAGCTCGTCCCGTGACTAAGGAGAGACCCTTTAGCCAGCCATCTTGGTACTTCCCCAAAACCTTGATGCCTTCTCCCTTCTGCAGGTCCAGCTCCTCAGGTCCGTTGGCTGAATAAGTGTGCAGGGCTACAAACCTGGAAACACAAAGAGCTCGTAAGGGAGGCTGGGTACGCCTGGGGAGGGCGCAAAGCTGAGGAAGGGCTGGGGGAGGCCAGTCCTAGAGTGCACCTGCCAGCACCTAGCAACAAACGCCGTTAAAAATGGAAACTTAACCATGGAAGGCAGACAGAAGTGGAACAACCTGGCTGAAATGCCAGTGGGTCTCCTGCCTTTGTCTCTCCACTCCATAGGGCACAGCACAGCTGGCCATCAGATAGGCCAACATGGGCACTGGGACAATGGGGAACTGACTTCCAGTAGAGAAAGAGACTTGAAGGACAGGATCAGTGGCAGAGGTGTCTGACAGTCCACGGTAATGCTTTCTCACTACTGTCTGCTGCCGTTCTGAAGACAGCAAGGCTCAGGGGGACAGGAGTCATCACAGAAGCCTCTCTGAAACCCTCTTTGAACTGAGAGTAGGGGTTGGTTTGACATCTAGGAGCGGCCTGGGAGACAGCTGGATGCCAACTGCAAAGTGTACGCTGGGAAGGAGGAGGCAGGGCTGACTGTCATTATTATTTCTGCACATAATGATTCCACTGGCTCAACAGTAGGTGGAGGGGGATGGGTTTGTATCATGCAAAAATGTGAGTGAGGAGAAAGAGGACACTGTCTTCTCAAGTTCACACAGGAGTCAGGTAGGTGGTGGCCGAGTATGAGTCATGGTGGTGAGGACACCGGGGAACAGAGAAGCTGAGGCTGAGGACATGAGAGCCGCTGCCTCATGGAAGGCATTAAAGAAAGAACATAATTGCCTTGGGTTCGGGGTCACTTTAGCCAGGCGTGGCCAAGCTTTTGACATTGTGACATGATGTTGTCATCTGCAAAATTTATGCCCCATAACTGTGTAAGTGAGTTTACAGAAAGTAAAAAAAGCAAAATAGATCTGATAATGTTTTAAGTTAGCTTATGGTTACGTGTTGGGCTATATCCATAGTTTGGTCTCATGTGGCATGTAGGCTGCAGTTTGGACATGCAGCCTGGCATTCCTTTGAGATCCTAAGGACTGTGAGACACACATAAACTCGTTATCAAAGTGCATCTTATTTGCGAATGTTCTTCTTACCTACAATGCTGAATCTATCTGTTTTTACTGATTCTAGTAAGTTAGTATTCATTTCTGAGCCAATATTTTAAACCTGCAGGGAGACAATAGAGACTGCTCAGTACCCAATCTCCTAGCAGTGCTGTAGTTCCTAATCTGCAGTTTTCTCATCCGCGCTCATCACCATCGGTGGTGGAAAAGGAGGCGGCGTTAGCCGTTTGGATGCTATGGTTTGGACATGGAGACTAGGTGGCAGAGGGTTGCAAGGACGAGAGCTCTGCTCCAGAGGCTAGAGGACGAGGTGCTGAGCTTTTTACTCACATGTTAGTTGAGAGCTGTTGCTGGGAGCTGGGCACGCTGACCATGGCTGTGGAATGTCCCGGAGAGGCAGGTGCGGGCTGAGAAGTGCTGACCTATACAGACAGGAGAGACAACCAAGCAGAACTGGTAAACACCCCAAGCCAGGCAGGTGAACAAATCACAGAGCAGCTTGACATGGTTGAAAATGAACAGCCATGCCCAGCACCGCCAACCCAGCCATTTCTCTGGTTTGTTGCTTTGGGTAGAGTGACGGGGAGCAGGTGTCTTATGGCCGGTCTAGGTAGTGTTCAGGGCTAAGTTTTCAAAGGAGTGTAGCAGAGTACGGCAGGCTGTCAACTGAGAGCCACAGGACCGTGAGCTTCTCCTGTCCCATCCCACCCAGTTTCTGTGTGAAAACATGCCCGTGGAGAACAACAGGACAGCCGACTGAGACTCAGCACTTAGCTCCCCCCCCCCCCTTTTAAGAGCCTTCTAAGTATCAACAAATTTAGTCCTCACCGGAGGTAGCATATTAATCCCCATTTTTTCCATCAGAAGCTGAGACACTTTGGGAGGGACAACAGTTACTTAACTAGGACATACACAATTTAAAATTATGTCTTAGGATATGAGCCGACCTGCTCACTAACTATTGCTAACATTAAAACACACACTTACACACACACACACACACACACACACACACACACACACACACACACGTCCTAGCAGCGGATACAATAGCTTACAGAACATGATGTGAACCCTTTCCGTTTCTTCCAGATAAAACCAGATGAGCAATGATAGAAACCTCTGAACTCTGCCTACTCTCCTAGGATTCTTCCTTTTGTCTAATATGCTGATGTGCTTAAAGAAAAGTGTGTGTGTGTGTGTGTGTGTGTGTGCCTGCCTGTGCGCATGCATGCACAAAGGTGGAAGTCAGAGAAAATTTTTTAGATATCAGTTGTCTCCACTATACAGGTCCCGGGGATAGAATTCAGAGCTTCTATCATCAAGCTTGGCAGCAAGCACCTTCCCTGCTGAGCCATCTCATTAGCCCTTCCTTTGTCCCCACCTTCTACTCCTTTCTTTCTTTTTTGAGACAGGAACTCTCACTGGGACCCAGGGCTTGCTGATCATGCTAGGCTGGCCAGCCAGTGAGCCATCTCTGGGACTATAAGTACACACCACAACATCTGGGTCTTTCATGTGGCTTCTTGGGGTTGAACTTGTCTTCTCAGTTGTGTGGCAAACATTTGAAAGGCTGAGCTATCTTAGAATATTCTTCTGCTTCCCTTTCTAGCCTCGCCTGTCTTAGGTAGGGTTTCTATCGCTATGACAAAAAACCATGACCAAAACACAAATTGGGGAGGAGAGGGTTTGTTTGGCTTACACTTCTGTATCGCTGTTCATTATTAAGGCAGGACAGGAACTCAAATAGAACAGGAACCTAGCGGCAGAAGCTGATGCAGTGAACATAAAGGGGAGTTGTTTACTGGCTTGCTCCCCATGGCTTGCTCAATCTGCTTTCTTATAGAACGCAGGACCACTAATCTAGGGGATGACACCATCCACTGATGGGCTGGGCTCTTCTCCATCAGTCACTAATGAAGGAAAAGCCCTACAGGCATTCCTACAGCTCTGATCTTATAGAGGCATCTGAGGTTCCCTCCTCTCAAATGACTTTAGCTTGTGTCAAGCTGACATCAAACTGTCCAGCACAATTGACTACTTGGCAACCAGACACACAGGAAACACAGCACTGTTAAGCTGCAACCTTTCCTTTTTTGTTCCTCCCGCAGATGACACATTAACATTAATATCAATATCACAAATAAAAACATCTTACAAACTTAAAATGTCCCATGGTCTTTACAAATTCAAACACTTTCAAGTTTTTATTTTTTTAAATTTCAAAACCTCTTTTACAGCCTAAAATCTCCTAAAATTTAATCTCTCAGCTGTGGGATCCCATAAAATAGAAAAAGCAAATAATTAAATAATTCCTACTACAAGAATGAAATACCAGGGCACAGTCACAGTTTGACCAAAGCAATGTCCGCTGTGTGGGATTTACTCACAGTCATCTGAGCTCCTTCAAGAGCTTGGGTCACATCTCTAGCTCTGTCCCCTGCGTCACACACAGCTTGTCTTCCAAGCTTGGGCAGGATTCACTCCCCCCAGCTGCGGCTGTTCTCGGTGGTCGTCCCATGGAACTGGCATCTCTAAAATGCTGGGGTCTTCTGCTGGACCTGGGCTGTACTTTCACCAATACCCTCTCCTGGGCTCTCTTCACGCTACCAGGCCCCAGCTTCTCTGCATGGCCCCTTCAGTCTTGGGTCTTTAACTGCTACTGAGGTTGCCCCTTCACCGATGGCCTCTCCTGGCCTCTCACAGCGCCAAACCTTAGCTGCTCTCCATGACCCCTTGCCTTCAAAATCATTACCACCTGGGTGACTCTTACATTACCAAGTTAGGTTACCAGCGCGAGGTCCAACCTTGGCCACCTTTGGAACACAGCTTCTGTGTGCTGACTCTCAGGAAACACTTCCCAGAAGACTTTACCTCACTGATGCTGGTCTCTTCTTAATCATCAGTAATTTCACACCTCCAGCTAACCAGCATTAATTATACCAGTGAAACAAAGGTGACTTAGTGGTTCTGGTCTCTAGTTAATTGCCGTTGATTCTTCAGCCCCACCTGACTGGAACCGCATATTCTACCACAAATGCCTGGCAGAATCTCAGTGTCTGCATAGCTCTTGACATTTCTTGTCTTCAAACCTCTGACAAAACAGTTCACTGAACTCTCAGTACTGAATGGCTCTTCTAGCCCAAAGTTCCAAAGTCCTTACAGTCTTCCCTAAAACATTTTCAAGTTTGTCACAGCAATACCCCACAATCCTGGCACCAACTTCTGCCTTAGTTTGGGTTTTATTGCTATGAAAAGACTTGAGGCACGACCATATCAACTCTTAGAAAGGAAAGCATTTAACTGGGGATGGCTTACAGGTTCAGAGGTTTAGTTCATTATTATTATTGTGGGAGGCATGACAGCAGGAAGACATGGACCTGGAGAGGTAAGAGAGTTCTATGTCTGGATCCGAGGGCAGAAGGGAAGAGAAAACCACTGGGTCTGGCTTGGGCATCACGAAACCCCAAAGCCGACCCCCCAGTGACACATTTCCTCCAACAAGGTCAGACATACTTGAGCAAGGCTGCACCTTCTAAGGCCACTCCCTAACCATTCAATATCTGCGTCAGACATATGGGGACCATCCTTGTTCAGGCCACCAACCTTCCTCTGCTCCTGCTTGTCCTGTGAGCCATGCCATCTCCTTGGCCATGCTGTTTTTGTCATTTGCTTCTCACCTCTTCCCTGTTACTTCCATTTTATATAAAAAAATATAAGTCATAAGCACATCACGTGCACAGCAAGTATATATGATTTTATGCATCACTTACATAATAGTGTAGATGATGAGTGTATCCATACCACCCAACTCAGAATACAGATAGAAACTGGATATTGTACTTAGCAGCTCTCTGCATCTTTCTCAGTAACCACATGGCTCCCCTCCCTCTGGAGCAGCAGTCCTCAACCTGTGGGTTGTGACCCTTTGGGGTCCCATGTCAGAGAGCCTGCATGTCATACATTTACATCACAACTCACAGTAGCAAAATAAAAAGAGCTACAAAGTAGCAATGAAGTAATATTATAATTGGTGGTCACAACATGAAGAACTGTATTCAAGGGTCGCAGTATTAGGAAGGTTGAGGACCACTGCCCTAGAGGTAACCATAGTGCTAAAGTGTGTGCTAATCATGTAATCATTCCGGGTCTTTTCAGTGTCGTTTCTTCCTGGCACACATTTTTTGCACATGCTTCTCTGTTTTGTCTGCTGTGAACATCATATAAAAGAACATGCAATAAGTACAACCTGCGACACGGGGGTTTGCTGTGTATTTGTGGCTCCTGTCTCGTATTTCATGGCAGGAATATACCACCACGGGACTAGTCTATCGTTTATACGTCATTTGGGCGGCTTTTAGTCCTGGGCTGTTATGAACAGTGTTGCTATGAACATTCCTGTACATGTCCCCTGTGCCCATGTACAAGTTTCTTCAGCATATACACCTAGGAATGGAATTGATGGGCCGTAGGGCAGGAGCCTGTTCAGTTTTATTAGGTAATAACAAATTGTTTCCCAGAGTGGCTGTAACAATTTACACGTCTGCCAGCAACTAATGACAATTCCTGTTATTTTAGAGTCTTGCCAGCATGAGGTAACACTCAGCTCTTTAATATCTGCTCATGTGTTGGTGTGAGATGCTAACTCATTGTGGTTTTTCATTCATGTCTCTGAAATGCCAATGAATTTGAGTTTATTCATTTCCCCTGTTTTCAAATGGTTACCGATGGTTATTATTACATGAAATGTCTGTTCATATCCTTTGTCTTTCCAAAGCCCTCGGGTTATTTATTTTCTCATTAAGTTGTGGACTCTATTATTTTTGGATATAAATCCCTTGTAGCTTGTATTTTTTTTATTCTGTGGGTTTTTTTTGATGAACAAACGTAATTATATAATGCTTTCCTATACAATTCTCACTTGAAAAATCTTGGCTACGATGCCCTTTAATCTCGGGGTCGTGAGGTACATTTCTATGTTGCCTTCTGAAAGTTTTACCTTTCATATATAAGTTCTTTAGTCCACATGGAATTGATTTTTGGTGAGAGAGGAATCAATCCAGTTTCATCCTTACCCCACATGGACACCCAATTAACTCAGCTTTGGCGTTCATTCTTCCCTTCTGACCTGCGGGAGCTGTTTGCCATAAATCACGTCTCCACATGGTCTGTTTCCAAGTTTTCTAGTATGTTCCACTGGCTTAAAAGAAGCTGCAGCTAAGTATTAGCATGGCTCAGACTTAGTTTTAAAGTAAGAAGGGACATCTGATCCTCAGACCTCAAACCCCGCCCTAAGCAAACCCCGCCCCTTCTCCTTAGCAATCTCTTTGTCCCTGGCTTTTCCTTGCTACCTCTGAACCTTAAGATTTACTGTTTGTAGAACTCAATAAAAATCAATTTAAAAAAAAAAAAGAGTTACTGT